TCTCTCTCTCTCTCTCTCTCTCTCTCTCTCTCTCTCTCTCTCTCTCTTTTTTCAAGGCAACACATTCTCACTTCCAACTCGTCAAATACCACTCGTGTCTAGTGTTTGTTTTGCACATGTTTGTTCTGCTTATTACATGCATGCACTGTCTGTACAAAATAAACACCAATATTCACAGGAAACAACTTGGTTAGGCTTAGGGAAAGACGAAGTTAAGTGGGAGACGATACGTTTGCGACTTAGGTAAAGTTACGTAACCTTATTTAAATACCTAAGTTGAAATAAGTTGTCATCTCACATGGGACACTAACAGCGGTCTCCTGGGTGAAACACTGTGTTTGTTTTGCTCCGCCCCGACCGCCTCCTCCTGTGGACATTATTGCTCTGTTTATACTAAACTACATCACCTGACTTCATCCTTTACTCCCTCCATGACTACGGATATGTAGAGAGTCGTAGTTTGCCGTGTAGGGTCACTGACAAGCTAACATGTTTGATGACTTGGCAATGAGAGCGGGCTGTTCAAGGAGTCATTGTATTCAACATGAAAATAAAACTCTCTTCAGTTGTGTTTTGTGTATTTTTAGCCAATGCAGAAACAACTCACCGGACCAGTACTTGGCAATAAAGGCTGATACCTAAATTCCAAAGAAGAAGATTCTGAGCTTGCTTAGTGAGCTTATTTCCCTTTGGCGGTGTTAACAAATAGTCAACAATAGTAAAGCAATAGCTAAATATTTGTAGATACTTGATTTTCCTTAGCGTCACTTTCAAGCAGCAACCCTCCTGAAGAGTGATGCCAATACCTTAAAGTGTCTTAAATCTGCATTCTTTTAAATTGCCATCAGGGGGCGACTCCTTTGTTACAAAAATAAGTCAGATTGTATAGAAGTCTATGAGAAAATGACTCACTTGATTTATTACCTCAATAAACATGGTCAACATCAGTTTGTGGTCAAAACATGATGTTCATTTCGTAATATACTGTCCCATTAAGATTAAAATAGACCATAAAGCAGAATATGCTGTAGTGTGGAGCTACCTTGTGATTGACAGGTCGCTACCGCTACCAGAGCCATATATTGCGTATCTACGTCACTCCTTTGCAGGCCAAATATGGTTACTACTGTTCACTGATTGCAAAATGTCAACATGGCGACAACAACCCACAAACCATTGGGTGACGCCACCATGACTACGTCCACTTCTTATGTACAGTCTTTGGTCACTTTAAAGTTTACAATATAAGGCGATGAAAGAGTAAGAAAACGATGATTGGGAGTCTTGAAACACAAGATATTCAGACATCTCAGTGGCCTCTCAGGAACAGTATCCTGCCAACCAAGGAAGACTGGGGGAACCAGTTTCCTGATAAAAAAAAGGCATGATGAACATGGAAATAGTATCAACCAAGCTCAAGTCCATATGGTCAAAGTACAGTTGCCCCAGTTGACAAATATTAGTAGGATTGCTTTATGGTACATATATCCATGGTGCCCAGAAGATGAACATCGTATCTGCATTGTATCTGCATTGTTGACCAGTATCATATCAAAAATGTCCAACTTCTCGATACATTAGTTAATGATTGAATGGGTAAGCCTTGATTGTGGAAAAGCAATTGGCTGTTCAGTGTAAGCGATATTGAGAACGAGGATGTCGTCTTCCCACGCAGTTAGCTAGCTACCGAGCTACGTTCAACAAAAATAGCGACAGAAAAACTGCTGCAAAAATGGCGACAAAAAGTTAGATGCAAGTCATTTGAAAGTAGGTAGGCCTAACCAGATTTTGAAGCTTGGTGATATGGTTGATATGATGGTATAGATGACAGCTGTCCAGCACGTTTCCACAGGACTTCCACACTGCACCTTTAACTTTGTAAAGATGTGACCCTAACATCGGAATACGGGCGCGTTCTATTGAAGCTCGGTTGACGAACGCCTTTTTTTCCCGCTTCTCAAGAAAATAAAAAATATATATGAAGAGCTGACAAAAATAAACAAGAGCTAAAAACGCTGCTCTCAAATGCCGGCTCGCAAACTGAACATCGCTCAAATGAATTCTATACTTACTGCGTTCTTTATCCGTCACTTTACTTCCATAAATCCCTACAGTGTGCTAGTGAGGTGAACTGTGAGCTCTACTGGAGGAATAAAAACAATGGCAGAAGATATTCCCTCTTTTCTTTTCTTTTTTTTGTCTCTCTTTCCCCCCTTTTACGTTTCCATCTTACTGTCGGTTTTTCTGGTTCTTTTAATCTCTCATTCCTCTGCCTCCGTGGCTCATCCTGTCATTCTCTCTTTGATCGCCTGCAGCAGTGTAAAGAGAAAACAAAATACCCGCCTACAGTACATATGATCCCTGGACAGTATGTGCGTGTGTGTGTTTGTTGTGTGTGTTCCTGCTTTCTGTAGGTGTGTATCACCTCTGTGTGTATGTGTGTGGGTGTATATACTTCCATAATGGTTCTGTTTACACGCCCAGGTGGCCTCAGATTAACATTGATTTTCAGCTCCTGGAAAGCTTTCGCTCAGAAATAGCGAGCCCAAGGCGACGCTCGGCTCGACTCCCAGAGACCTCCCTCCCCCTCCCGCTCGCCCTGTGACCCCCCCACCCCCCCCTTCCATCCCCAACACAGAGCACTCAGAGCCGGGGTAGTGCTACCTCCACCGATTCCCACCTCCTCCTCTCTATCAATGAGGGGAAAAAATCTCGACAGTGATGGTGTTTAATGTTCATGTTTTGCCTTGTTTGTGTGTGTT